TAAGAGTATAAATCAAAATTATTGAAACCCAAGCGACATTAGAATAACAAGCGTTCCAACGTAACGGAGTTAACGGATTATGGACGTCATCGTTTGTATTGGAACCTAAACTTTAAACAAAACCATATAAATATATTTTACTGTTGACTAATCTTATTCTAACCAAACATCTATCAAGGCTTCTTACAAGTGCTATCAACTCCAGAATTAAAACTATAGGAAGGTAGATTTTGGAGAACTTTAAAGAGCTTTTAATCGTTTCTCCACAGCCGCCCCTTGGAAATCAAGGTCATAACATATACTTACCTAGACATTTACTAACCACACAGCGAACAGATACAGATATACGATAATGTTTTTTTTTGTTTTCTCAATTCTGAAATAGTACATTTAGGACATATTAGCAATGCCATGTCTACAGCTGATGTATTTAGTGTACACTAAGTTGGAGACATGGTTACATCATGATCATGTTAGGATACGTTCTATTTCGTTTTATGATATGAAGTTATTTGTGTTCGGTGCTCTTCAGTACGCCTTGTGTTTTGTTTCTGATAATGGTTTTCACGTGCGAATGCGACATGACTTTCTTAAACTTACCAATGTTTAGTTTAAACATATTTTATTGACAAAATAACATGTCAAAGGGATTGGTCTGTAAGTTTTACCAACTTATGATCGACTTCTCCCATCAATATATACTAAAAGGATAAAGAAACGCAGGGTGAACTTTATACCAGAAATTAAGTATGATATCGGGCTTCATTTAAAACGAAATTTTGTATACTTACAGATAAATCAAAGCTTAAAAAATTCCAAAGTCTGTATTTTTCACCTGACAATTGGTTTAGAGGTACTAACGATTAAATTGAATGGAACCGTAGGATTTTGAAATTGAAATTGAACTGAGTCATCAATATCTTGTGTGTCTGCCGTTTGCTGTGGTCACGGCCCTTATTCTTCTGGTCATAGAGTTCATGAGAGCGTTAATCCGTCTTATGGGGATGTTGTCCCACTCTTCAATCAGAGCTCTGGTCAACTGCTCTCGAGTAGCAGGGGTGGCTGGCGCTTTCGAACCTGTCTATCCAACTGGTCCCAAAGATGCTCGATCGGGGACAAATTAGGGCTATATGGCGGCCAATCTAGTGGTTGAATGTTGTTGTTGGCCAGAAAGACTTGGCAAATCCTTGCTACGTGGGGCCTAGCATTATCCTGCTGAAGGGTTAGATTATGCTGCTGTAAGAAAGGGATAACATGGGGTCGGAGGATCTCATCTCTATACTTAGCTGCTGTTAAATTGCCATCAATAACAACCATTTGTGATTTTAACCCGTGTGAGATTCCTCCCCACACCATTACTGAACCGCCCCCAAACCTATCCCTCTCTACAACACAAGCGTCCGTAAAACGTTCGCCACGACGTCGGTAGACACGTTGACGGCCGTCAGATCGATAAAGACAGAATCGAGATTCGTCCGTGAAGAAAACTTGTTTCCACTGCATCAGTGGAAACCGTCGTGGAGCATGTGCAGCGACCCAGGCCATACGACGCTTACGTCGAGCAGGGGTAAGGTGTGGACCTACGTAGGGGCGACGTGCTCTTACACCAACTTCTCGTAATCGATTCCTTACAGTTTTTGAACTTATAGGACGCCCCTGATTTCCACGAACAGTAAGTGCACTCTCAACGGCAATAAGGCGCCGATTACGCACATGAGAGACGACGATATAGCGATCCTGACGTCGTGACGTTATGCGCGGACGTCCTGACCTAGGTCGATCGGCCAATCGCCAGGTTTCCCGAAGTGGAAACATTAACACCAAAGTGCCTAGCAACCTGATTTTGCAGCTGTCGTTGCATCAGCATCTGATTGGCCTGACCCCTCTGAACTTCTGTGAGTCGTGCCATTCTTAAAACGAATCAAATTCTCAATTAATTTTAGGGAAGCAGTTGGTCTGTATAAAGACTAACGAAGAGTGACTTGACCAACGCTGCATGAGACCAGAACAACACGGTGCACGATATTCTTGTTTTTTCCTTCCTCCATTTACCAGAGCTGCGCACTGTACCGTCACTAAATTTTCGATACATGACAAGGTGTAATATGACCTAATTACTCAATCCATAAAATTTCACTTTATTTTGAAAACGCGTTTTCAAAATATCGGAATAAATATTACCCTGCGTTTCTTTAACCTTTTAGTATATATACAATATAGTACAACAACAATAGTCACATGATGGCATCTGTAGTATTAAACTAAGAGACAAAAACACGGATTAAACTGACGTATATACCTTGGTAGATATGGCGGATGCCGTCAATGAAGCAGGAGGTGCTTACCATTCTGTAACACCTGGGCCCGTATAAATACAAATCGTAATCAAGTAATCGTGTTTTTGTACACGGACACAAATACTGTTGTTATAAGTCTGATATCTGAATTAACTGTTTTTCGATGATTTGAAAGAATTTCAGGAAGTCTTCATGTGAGATATTATTGCCAATGTTAAGTCTATTTTTAAGCTGCTATTTCCATGATTTGATGTAGTTTAAAGAAAGCTGGATTGAACACAGATTCCATGCTTGAACATGAGAAATGTTTCTTGTATGAGAGCCATGGTCTTATTTTCCTTGTACGTTTCAGGTTTCTCCATATAATGCTTTCTTTGCTCCTTATCTTGGCTTCTTTCGATTGACTTGTAATATTAATATTATATTATAATCATGTCGGTATTTTATGGTTGATTTGACCCAAATATGGCGTCAATCTTTCCTGCAGAGGCAGATAAACGACGTCAACACTGGAGAAATTTATGCTAACGGCATGTTAAAATGTGTCATGGAAATATGAGAAAGATATTACGATGATGATAATCTTAGCGACATTCTCTGAATCATTTTATACGGCTTCCAAGTGAGTTTGATGTCAGATTGTTGCAAAATCCAATAACAGTTATAGTAGAAAATATTTCAAACCAGTGATCAACCTCAATCGTAATAACAAAACTTAATCATATAAAATGGTATTGTTTCCTCCTTTACTGAATAGGTATAAACGGAATGGTACATAAATCCATATCGCCATTTTAACAGAAGCATATCAGTGGTACGTTGATGTTCGGAAGATATCTTTATTATTAATCATTACACACACTGAATGTTACTTTATTCATTTTGCCGATTCATTTTTTCAATATAATTGATTGAAGCATTCCATCTTCCACTGACTCCTCAACATCCTTTCAATAAATCGCTATAAAATTCATGTCTGATGTTTCTAAAAGCAATTATTTCGTTTGTGTTGATCTCTATGATAACGAACAGTTATCAGAAACATTGATGTGATTGGTGAGTGCATTGTTAGATCCAATTAGTGCTGTTCTCTGTATTTTATAATTATTACAAATTTATCGTTTTATTTTATCTTTAATAGGACATTACATTGATTATTCCTTTCTGTTAATATTTCGTATTTAAACTACCACGAAAAAATTGATTGGATAGAAGATTGAATGACACTTTACTTACAGTATGAATAACTGGGGTACATTTATGATACATGTCCCGGTGTTGTATGTTTATATTATATAGGACAGACATGGCGGTGTATTGTTTTCGATAATAAAGCGATCTTTATAAATCGATCATTCGAATGATCTGCTGTGTATTATCAATGATCGATTCCATGTGGCGCTACACGACACTGCTTCCATTATTTAAACTTACTCACAGCTTATAAAATACAGCAAATACGAGGGCGAGTGATATGCAGCCGGTAAGTAAACCTTGTTAACAACCCTCAAGTCATTTCTTTTGTTTAAAAAGTGAACTTATCTTCATAATAAATATATCTTATCATATTAAATCTAATAATCACAGTATGAGCTTGTTCCGGTTAAATGGTCTTATTATTCAGTGTTATCGCATGAAGCATTAAGATTTGTATATGTCGAATTCCTTTGTCAGATTTAATTACACTGCTATATTCTTAAAGAATTTCAAGTTGAAAACAAAACCAATGAATGCTGTTTATATGTGACAGTTGACCTTGTTTCCAGTGTTGTGGGTTTTGGTTAAACATGCAGTCAGCTGAAAAATAAAGTTACCTCTCAGGCCTTCGATACACAGGTCGATGAAGGCTATAAGACAGTTTTGTAGTCGCCATCATGTCCTCAATAAAAATATTCTACTTCCTTCCGCGATACAAAGCTGGTTTCGATCCCCGAGCGTAGACCTGTTGGTTACGTTGTTGTTAATTTTGCTCTCACTGAATGCCATTACTTACTTATATCTGATTAAGTGGTGCAAGACGGTTGAGTCTATGAAGCAGAAGTCACCATTCTACTTGAACTTTTTAAAGGGTCAACGACTCTCTGTACAAATTTTTTTTTTTTTTTTTTTCATGTTTTGCCTTCCTTTCATCGATTTTGATTTTGAAATGCGGGTGTACATTCTTGTCAGTATTTTCTTGCTGTATAAATCGATACTACAAGGGCTAATTATCAACACAAGGATGATAGCTACATCACTACTACGAAAAGCACGTGTACAAATACGATGAATGTAAGAGTTCTCTTCTTTATTGACTACACGTGACCTATCGTTTGTTGAATATTGTTAAATCACGTACTCAAATATAGAGATATCGAAACTACAGTACAAGGTATACCGATGACCATTAAATGTATCATCATCCGTTTCCGTTATCAAACTTAAAACTTTATGCTATTCTTAAGCTGCCTCTATAGAATCCCTCCATTAAAAACCGAATCATCGACAGTTAATTAATCGTGATATTCATAGGTCGCTTAAAATTATTATATTGTTTATGACCGAACCAGATTCATGACTTTGATGATTTATGAAAATGATGTTTTGTTTCAGATAACCAGACACCACGTGTTGTGCCTTTGTGCTTGTACGTTCTTGTGTTTCTGCATCCTCATCATATGCAGTCATGACCTTGAACTTCGCCCCTTTCTCAAACCGGTTCTTATGGTTCTATCTGATACTGGATCAGAGGAGAACAATTCCACATTGCATCAAGGGAAAAAATACATGGTGTATGACTGCAGTTACGCTCATGGGCGTGAGTGTGGTGGTTGGTCGGACAGATTGTCGGGCATGCTCAGTGTCTATGTTATATCTATTATGACTAATCAGACATTTCTGGTGAATCATGATAAACCTTGTCCCCTCCAAAAGTTCCTGGACTTCAGAGACCATAACTGGATTTATAACCAGGAAAGCTTGAAGAAAAACAATCTTTCTCATCAATACCTGTCATTTTTCTGTAACGTCCCCGCAGCCGTTAAATCCCACCGAATGAAACGTTTAATAGTGACTTTCAATAGGGATGTTAACTTTGTGCGCATGAATTGGGACTATACTGAGCATTTTCGATCCATGAAGGGAACAGGAAAGGTTGTACCTTGGATAACCACACTGCAGTACGCAGATATTTATAAACATTTCTTTAATTCACTTTTCAAGCTAAAAAAAGAAATGAGTGATTACTTGGATCATGTAAGAGGACACAAACATTTTGCTTGTGCACATATACGCATGGGTGAATCAGGCATGGTGCGTACAACACCGGCGGAATTAGGTGATATATGGCGTTTTTTGAAAAAGAAAGAAAAACAGAAATTTTCCATTTTTGTGGCGACGGATTCTAATTTAGTGAAGAAAAAGGCCCGGGAATTGTTCTCAAGATCTTTAGTTGACATTCATGGTGTCATCACGCACATTGACATTACTAATAAAGATGATCAATGTGCTGGGTTCCGTAAAGCCATCTTAGACTTTTTTATGTTGACGCTGTGTGAGGAGCTCATCATAACAAGGAGTGGGTTCGGTATAATAGCCGCCTACCTCAGACAGCATCACACGTTATACTGCTTGACCCGTAGTGGTGTTGTCCGCTGTACTAGGTTAACCATCCACAATATTTTCCCTACACCAATCCTCTCACCATTCTGAATCAGTTAATTGTTATTGCTACCAAAAACCTGTCCAAGTACAAGACCAAAACAGAAGGGTATAATGTCAATGCATTTGATTTAAAGCGTTTTTTCTTATTTTATCACATCACTATCTTGTTATCGGTGTTCACGTACGGAGGTGTGATCGGCTGAAAGTCCCCATTTTTCACATTGTGACGTCATAATTTCATGTCGTCATATATAATGTGATACCAAATATGAAAGAAATACAGATTGAAAATATGGCTGTTAATAAAATGCTGTCTTTATTAATGTTTACAAAAGTATATGAGTTTTGAAATAAACACGACCTTACAGTAGTTTACTTTAATATCAGATTCATGAAACTTGTCATGAAAGTTTCATCTTACGTTGCTAGAGGTTCCGTTTCAGACTCGTCTCGACCACCTCATATCAATTGAAACATTTTCCACACAACTAATTAATTTATCATCAGTTTGTAAGTAGCGAGAAAAAAAATCACTTGTGACTTGTAATTATGTATGGCCTTAATATTTTGGACATTTCCGTGTAATAACACTTAAAAAGATTTTCAGTTCCGCAATATCACAAGGGGGGCTTGTACGAACATATTACAGTCTCCCCGGGAGGCCATCCTTAAATGCCCGTAGCTGTTAACTGGATGTTAAAGCGATACCAAAATCAAACTAACTTTTTGGGGTCTAAAGTTAAATATCTTTGATGCTTGTTAGTATACCTGGTGTTATAAACCAGCTACTCATTCGAGAACTTTCTGATTCACCAAGATTTGCATGGCTAATGACGTCGAAGAAGCGGAAGACGCTTATCATTTTAGAACATCAGGTTTTGTTCTCCTTGTACTTATCCAATAGTTGTTCATGTTTATCTTCGTTTCATGTAATTTAGATTTGAATAAGATCTTGTCTTTCTTGTAACAAACGTAACGTATTACCGTTATACAAAAACATGACGATAATTTAGCATTTCGCACCCACATCCGATGACGCCCGAACACCAGCCTTATTGTATTTAATGAATACCATCGAAAGACAACTACAACAATGTTTGAATCGACTACAAATTTGGACATGAAAATGAATTTAAATTTTCGCAATCAAAAACAGTTTGTATGTATCTTTGTCAAATTCGGAAACAACACGGCGATCCAAATCTATCTGTTTGTGGTGTATCCATTCCGGCTGATGAGCAAACCAATTTCTTAGGTGTAATATTTGACAGAAAACTGTCGTAACCTTCCACATATAAAATGCCTTAAAGCCAAATGCTTTAAGGCACTGAATATTCTAAAGGTGGTGTCCGACATTGGTTGGGGAGCTGATAGAAAAGTTTTGCTAAGACTCTATAGAACTCTTATTAGATCAAAATTAGACTACGGTTTCATTGTGTATGGATCTGCTAGACCTTCTTATCTCAAATTAGTAGTCACTGTTCATCACCAGGGTCTAAGGCTCGCTATCGTTGCTTTTAAAACGACACCTACAGTAAGCCACTATGTAGAGGCTAACGAACCATCACTATAAAGCCTTCGAAATGAATTGGGTTTACAATACACCATTTAGGTAAAGTTAAATCCTTCAAGTCCTGCTTTTTCACTTATATTTGATCCAAAATATAAAACCTTGTTTCAAAACAAACCAATGACCATTCCACAATTCGATATTCATATTTCCGGTCTTTTACAAACCATAAATATTGATATTGACTAAATCCAATCATTTGAAACGATAGAAATTCCACAGTGGCTCATGAATTCACCTCAAGTTGACTTCACTTCATGAAATGGTTAACTCAGATACTGACAGTTGCACATTTCGCTCATCCTTCTCTAAATTGCAGTTAAAATATAAAACATTTCTACATTCACATACTGATTACTAAAAAATATGATAAGGTTGCCGTGGCCATGGTTTCACAAGATGAAGCCTATGGATGCCGGCTACCGAACAACGCCTCAATATTCTCGTTAGAAGCGCGAGCTATCTACCTCGCCTTTGAATATATGCAAACCAACAAAGTAATGAGAGCTGTAACCTATTCTGACTCTCTTTCTGTACTACAAAGTCTTAGCAATAGAAATATCGAAAATATTATCATTCGTAATACATTGATCCTATGTCATGAACTTGGTGTTAACATTCGTATCGCTTTTTGCTGGGTTCCTGGGCACATAGGAATACCAAAGGATGAAAAAGCAGATCGTGCCGCGATGGAAGCTTTATCGCTACCATCTGTTGTTTTAAAATTTCATTTTGCCTATCATCGATGAATGGTCTCCATACTATAGAGACAACCACCAAGACGAAGTTGCCCTTGCCCGTCTTCGAATGGGCCATACATACCTTACGCATTCATATATGTTGAAAGGCAAAGGCAGCCCTCGGTGCATAGGATGTGATGAGCCATTCAGCGTAAAATATTTTTTATGGGATTTCTCGAGAATGTTTTTATCGTAACGTTACAAGTCTAAAGACCCTTTTTGAAACTGTTGAGATTGATAAAATTCTAGGTTATTTGAAAAATGTAATATAACCATTTAAGATTTTTAGCATTTGTCTTTTACCTTTTAAGTTTGTTTGAGGCAATTCCCTTTTTGGATCGCTGTGTGTTGATGGCTCTAATGACCACTTATGTGTTGAGGGATTGTAATGATAACAATATGAGTCTAATGAGCCATTAACAGCAAGACTACTTCATTAAGACTGCATTGATATTCAGTCTCAATATATCATAACAGTAAAGTAACAGATGTTAACTCTCTATTTGAATCTGTTCATTCCTATCTAAATATGATGGACAGCTGTTGTTCTGATTTAAAATCATATTTGAAATATTAGCTTATCATGCATTGATATTAAACTTATTTAGACCGTATAGAAAGGATAAGGATACCGTCCTCCCCTTTCATCTCAAGGAAATGTGAATGGCAGTATAGATGTAGTTGTGATCTATATAGAAGCGTATTTCGTAAACAAATTACTTCCAGATCAATGAGGGAATATACGGGGTAACAGACTACTGGCATGGGAACCATCTGCGCCCCTCTGTTAGATGACTTTTTTTTTTTTTTTTCATGCTAGGCTGAATTTATTGAAGAGCTTATCAAAACAAATCAAAATCAAGACCATCAAAGTTATTGAATATTTTACCTTCAGATATATTGATGACGTCTTGTCTTTAAAGAACAAGAAATGTATTGACTATGTCTATTGTACATATGCACAGAACTGGAAATCAAAGATAAGACAGACTCTTCTACATCAGCTGCTTATCTCGATTTTTTTTCCTACAACGAAACCAAAATGGTCAGTTTTCCGTCAAGCTGTATGATAAACGTGATGATTTCAATTACTCTATTGTGAATTTTCCATTTCTGGATATAAATATCCCTGCATCTCCGATGGTATTTACATGTCACAATTGATCCAATGTCCAAGGGCATGTTCCCATTATCACGGCTTTCGTGCAAGAAGTCGTCAACTGACTGACAAATGTTCTATTTCTTTGTGCGACATGAAGCTGGACGTATCTGATGCTCGTTAGTTTGCCTGTTGGTTCCGTTGTGCGACATGAACCTGGACGTATCTGATGCTCGTTAGTTTGCCTGTTGGTTCCGTTGTGCGACATGAAGCTGGACGTATCTGATGCTCGTTAGTTTGCCTGTTGGTTCCGTTGTGCGACATGAAGCTGGACGTATCTGATGCTCGTTAGTTTGCCTGTTGGTTCCGTTGTGCGACATGAAGCTGGACGTATCTGATGCTCGTTAGTTTGCCTGTTGGTTCCGTTGTGCGACATGAAGCTGGACGTATCTGATGCTCGTTAGTTTGCCTGTTGGTTCCGTTGTGCGACATGAAGCTGGACGTATCTGATGCTCGTTAGTTTGCCTGTTGGTTCCGTTGTGCGACATGAAGCTGGACGTATCTGATGCTCGTTAGTTTGCCTGTTGGTTCCGTTGTGCGACATGAAGCTGGACGTATCTGATGCTCGTTAGTTTGCCTGTTGGTTCCGTTGTGCGACATGAAGCTGGACGTATCTGATGCTCGTTAGTTTGCCTGTTGGTTCCGTTGTGCGACATGAAGCTGGACGTATCTGATGCTCGTTAGTTTGCCTGTTGGTTCCGTTGTGCGACATGAAGCTGGACGTATCTGATGCTCGTTAGTTTGCCTGTTGGTTCCGTTGTGCGACATGAAGCTGGACGTATCTGATGCTCGTTAGTTTGCCTGTTGGTTCCGTTGTGCGACATGAAGCTGGACGTATCTGATGCTCGTTAGTTTGCCTGTTGGTTCCGTTGTGCGACATGAAGCTGGACGTATCTGATGCTCGTTAGTTTGCCTGTTGGTTCCGTTGTGCGACATGAAGCTGGACGTATCTGATGCTCGTTAGTTTGCCTGTTGGTTCCGTTGTGCGACATGAAGCTGGACGTATCTGATGCTCGTTAGTTTGCCTGTTGGTTCCGTTGTGCGACATGAAGCTGGACGTATCTGATGCTCGTTAGTTTGCCTGTTGGTTCGGTTGTGCGACATGAAGCTGGACGTATCTGACGTTAGTTTGCCTGTTGGTTCCGTTGTGCGACATGAAGCTGGACGTATCTGATGCTCGTTAGTTTGCCTGTTGGTTCCGTTGTGCGACATGAAGCTGGACGTATCTGATGCTCGTTAGTTTGCCTGTTGGTTCGGTTGTGCGACATGAAGCTGGACGTATCTGATGCTCGTTAGTTTGCCTGTTGGTTCCGTTGTGCGACATGAAGCTGGACGTATCTGATGCTCGTTAGTTTGCCTGTTGGTTCCGTTGTGCGACATGAAGCTGGACGTATCTGATGCTCGTTAGTTTGCCTGTTGGTTCCGTTGTGCGACATGAAGCTGGACGTATCTGATGCTCGTTAGTTTGCCTGTTGGTTCCGTTGTGCGACATGAAGCTGGACGTATCTGATGCTCGTTAGTTTGCCTGTTGATTCCGTTGTGCGATATGAAGCTGGACGTATCTGATGCTCGTTAGTTT